TTGGAGCAACACGGTCTAGTGGAAGGTGTTCCCGCCCATGGCAAAGGGTTGGAATGAGATGGTCCTTAAGGTTCCTTCCAACCCAAACCATTCCGTGACTGGACTCCCTCGGGATGCTTCCCCCCCCACGCCCCTCCACTGGGATGTGCACACCATCACTTCATCTCTCTCCTAATTACAGGCAGGAGGGAGGTGCTGAGCCCCCGCCCGCTGGGGAGGACGGGTCCCCTTCCCCAGCCGCCCCCCCCTCCGGGCTGGGAGGGGGGGCAGTGAAGGGGGGTGCGCATCCCCGGGCGGGGGCGGGGGGGACCGGATTGGCCGCCGAGTGCGCTGCGAGGATTTTGCGGCGCGGCCCCATTGGCCGCCACCGCCCATAAGTTTTTGCTCCGGACGGGAACTTTTCCCAGGGATGATGGAGTAACCCCGGGCGGCTCCGCGCCCGCTCCCCCAGCCGCCCCGGGCCAGGCAGCCACCGCCACCCGGCAAGGATGAAGCTCTGCGGGACTTTCCTCGGTTCGTAGCCGTTCGTCGGAGGATGGGAGGGGTGGGGTGTGAGCGTAGGGAGGCTGTTCCTCAGTGTGTCTCCCCCGTTTCTCCTCTGAAACACTTGAGTTGCTTAGTTCTGCCTAAGTCACGCCTTGGCAAAGGGGCTTGGTTGCCGTGAGGGGGGAGGATCGCGGACCCACAAATTACCCGGTCCCTCCTTGTTTTATATTTTCCTCCCCAGTGTCGTGGCAGAAAGGGATTTCCGAGTGTATTTCAGAGCGCAGTTTTCCCGTGCTTGCGTTTAGCAAGCGAGGTCCGGGTCTCATCCCCGCCCCTCCTCGCTTTGCTCGGGGCTCGCCTGCGAAAGGTTCCAGGTGCGGGGGGTGTGCGGCCCCCGGTGCTGCTGCTCCGAGGCACCGGCGGGGCTTTGTCCCCACTGCCGCGGGTTTCACCTAATTACAAAGGACGAGGAGCGAAAGGAAGGGTGCTGAGGAGAAAATCCTGTTTTCTGCAGCTTCTGGTCACAGTTCTTTAGGGGAAAGGGGTGGTGGTTTGATTTGGCTTTGTGTTCCCCCCCCCTTGTACACTGTTGGATAATAAAGGGGAGGGGGGAGATGTTACTAAATAAGAAGTTAGTTCGTGCCTGTTCAGCCGGTGTGTATTTCAGTGCCTGCATTAGCTGAGGCACAAAGGAGGAAGTTTTGGGATAATGCGAGGTGCCTTTTGCAAAAGATGGTGATTGCTCCAATTGTTGTCCTTCAGGGAGAAAAGAGCTCTAGATTTGGGTTAGACAAAGGCATTGCCTCTTCGGGAAGGAACCGCCCAAATCGGGGAGAAGGGGCGCGCTGGAGAGCGAGCAAAGGGTTATTAAAAGTTTTTTGTGCCTGTGCATGTTGTTCCATCTGCCAGGGGCCTGTAGTGGGCAGGTTTCTCTGCAACCCTTCAGCTGTTCCATATACAATATTAATGCTGGCCATTTCTATTCGGCATACAACAGCACTAATTGTAGTCTGAGGCATTAAGGCAGCCAGCCCATCTGCATAGAAGCTTTCAGAAAGAAACAAGGAGAAAAAAAAAAGAATCTTTCACCCCCAGCTGGTAACCGGAGAAGTTGGTGCCAATTACGAATGCGTAAAGTTTGAGATCTAATTTTCTTTGAAACAGACTCAAAGAAGCCAATGGAACAGAGTGCGGTGGGTTTATGTCTGTGTTTACACAGGCAAATGGAGTTTTATTTTAAGTAATTTCAAACTTGAAGCACTCGATCTGAAAACACGAGCACAGTAAGATTAAAAAAAATGGCACGTAGAGCAGGGGAAGGGAGGGGTGTGAAGGGACTCTACTTGTAAAAATCCTCTCCAGGTTCGGCCCCGCAGGCAAGGACCCTCGGAGCCCCTGTCTCAACACCCTGAAGATGAGAATACGTGAACATTTAATTTATACCTCTCTGCTGCACGGCTCCCTTTAGGGAAGCGACAGCTCTTTCAGACCTGGAAACGCGCGATAATTATCTCCTCTCTGAAAACAGCTGTAAAGTGACTCTGGAGAGACTGGGGGGGGATGGGGAGGGAGGGAGAACATAAAAGAAAAAAAAAAGAAGGTTGAAAAATGCTTAAAAAGGTCGCAACTGCGCTGAGGAGGGAGCGGGCGGAGCTGTCCGTGGTGCTGACCCGCCGCCGCTCTGGAGCCCACGCGTGGCCTCGCGTTCCCCCGCGGGCTCCTCCAGCGTGGTGGGAGCGGGTGTTGGCCTGAGACAGAGGTCTTCAGGGGGTCGGGAGGAGCTTGGGGGGTGCGAGATGAGAATTCTTGCCGCTGCTGAAGTTGTTGTTGGTGAGAAACTCCAGGAAAAGCTGTTTGTTTGCAGCGTTTGGGGAGATTTTGGGAGGGCGGCGGAGAGAAGACAGGGAAGTCTGGCGAGTTTGGGAACAAAGAAAAGCCAAACACCCTCTCGCAGCCCAGAGCTTAGTAGAGTGGTATCAAAGCTGTCAGCTGCCTCAGGGCTTCTAGGTGCGTCGCGTGTTAATAAATGCAACAACAGCAATAATAAAATTCATCTCTTAACGCTTGGAGAGGCACATGTGTGTGCTCATATCCATGCAGTGTGCGTGTGCACCGATTTATGTGGAAGCACACACAAGTAAACACGCTTCCCTCCTGCCTTCCAGCCGATCTATTGTGCTTTTGTTTCTCAAGTTTTAGCATTTCGTGTCTAAATGAAATAGCGGTGGAGAGGAGCAGGCAGCATTGTGAGCACAGAGGAGCTGAGTCCACCCAGCCCTCCCTTTGATTCTATCACGGGTGCAGAACAATGGAGATGCAGTGTAGCACCAGGCCTGCTGCCTGCAGATAAGAGTTTAATAGAATTTCTGAATGCCAAAGGTTTAGGATGTAAAATATCCCTATCTTCGTGGCGTGTCCAAAGGAGATAGAAAACAGCTTTTCAGGAGTACTCTCTGCTGAATATCTCCTTTATGTTAATGGTTTAGGAGCACATCAGGCTGGCAAGCCATGGAAATGGGCATCGTAAGAATCTCCAAAGTGGCCTCAACAGTTTAAAATTAGTATTTCTGTCACCCACTGCTCAGTAAAATGGCTGAGATGGGAAATCGAATCACTCCTGCCACGTGCCCTGTGATGTTCCGTGGGTGAGACAGCACAAGTGCCTGCAGTACCCACTCATGCTCGTGCTGCCAGGCAGGTGTCCAGCGTTGGGCAGCTGGAGAGGCTTTTCCTGCTCCTGCCTGCACCTGACCCGACCAGGGCAGGGGTGAACTGGAGAGGTGTCTGGGGCCTCTGTGGCTCTGTAGCTGGAGTTTTCCACAGGAGAGCGCACCCCCAGCAGGATTCAGCTTTTCCTGCCAGTCTCTGCTCGCTCGGCTCTCTAAGGACTCCTGGGGTTTCTGTACATTTGTGAGCTCCCGCATCTTTTTGGAAGTCTTCATTAAGATGACAGTAAAGTCTTAATTGTCTCGGTGATGCTGGGGATGGCACGAGGGTTCAGGGAAAAGCGCTGGGTAGAAAAGTGTCCCCCCCACCCCGTGGGGCTGCAGCCTGCCTTTTTTTCCCCCCGCTATTCCCAAAAAGTTGTAATCTAAGTGCTAATGCTCCGATCTGTCAGGGGACATAGATGGGATGTGCTAATGCCCTTTCTGCCACACGGTGCCGGGGTCTCTCCCCAGAGCCTCCCTCCTTCCAGCTCGGAGAAGACTTTTTCTTCCCAGAGTGGCCAGATCTCCACCAAGCAGAGCATTTTCAAGGAGAAATGGTGAAAGTGTGACTCTTTCTGAGAGGAAAAGATGCATAATGCAGGAACATGCACTTTTCTCAGTTAAAAAGAGTCTCCACGCTATCTTAGTCACTGTTTTATTTTAGGACTTTTCCTTGTGTTGTTCTTCCCATCACAAAGTCCAGAATGTAACCCCTGAGCCATGATCTCTCTTTCCCGGAGTGAGGTGTTATCTGCTGGGAATTTGCGTTGTGTCATCATTATTTTTTTTTTCCTTTTAAGGGGAGGGGAAAAAAAAAAATAAAATATTTATACACCTTTTAACCACTCACTTTTGAATATGTATATCAGCTAATATGCAATACTTCCAGGTTCATAGAGGCGATAAATTTCCCAGTCTGTTCTTTATGGTGATAGGTCATCTTCCTAACCACCAATAAATATTGTAAAGTACTTTCGCTGGAGCTGTGCTAACCCAGGGCATCTGTCACTCGCTGCTTGCTGCTATTAGGAATTATTGGGCCGTACCACGCTTCGGGATGCGCGGGGGGGACACGGCACGGCGCTTGTCGTGCTCGCCGTCCTTTTGTGTTGCTGCTATCAAAGGAGCCCCGAGCCTCGTGCATATTAATTATGAATCAGCTCGGGTAAAATCATTCACCTTCTGCTGGGTCTTGGGGAGGGGGGAGTGCGAGGAGAGAGGGGCTGGCGGGGCTGGGAGAGCCCCAACTCTCTGTGCACTCAAGGCAGCAGCTCCATCTCTCTCGCTCGCTCTCTTTGATGCTATACTGTAAATTTATTTCACCTCAGAGAGTAAACAGATATATTGCAACCCCAAGGGTTCATGGGTAGTGTATTTACAAAGGGAAGGCGCAGCAAGCCCCCTCTGTGCCATTTCCATTAATGAGAGCGGTCATTAAGTAAATGAGACATTGCCTTTAGCAGGCTTAAGAGTTCACACACTAAGGAGTATCAGATATTTAATTGAAACCAACAACCCGTCTTACACGCGTGTTACTGGTGTAGGGAAGTGGGCTGCCCTCCAAGAACTCTCCCCCCACAACCTCCCCCATGCAAATTTCATGATTGGTTTCCGTGATGTCATTTTGTAAAGGGGCAGACAATAGCTGTGGGGAAAGGTAAGTCAATATTATGTTCTTTCGCTGACAAAGGCAGATAATGCTGGCTTTTTTCTTTTCTTTTTTTTTTCCTCTTGTTCTTTTTTTTTTTTCCCCCTCCCCTCCCCTCCCTTGGATTGAGACAGAGGGGAAAGGCTTTCAGAGCTCACAGTTGATGTAAACAGACGCAGGCGTTTCGCCTTTACAGCACGAAGGCTGGGTTGTTGTTTTGAAAATTGCACTGGAGAACCGAGGGGATTTTTATGATGATCATCATGCTCCTAGGTCCATCTTTGCTCGCTCACTCTCTCGCCGGATGCGAGACGCTAGTGGACATGTTATGCTTCTGACTGAAAAGAGGTTGAATAAGATGAGAAAGGAGGAGATTTACTGAAAGAAAAAAAAAAAAAAAAGCACAACGTCGCATTCAGCCGGGAAACTTTCTGAATATTTCTGGAAGAGGATGCTTGCCGGGTTTGTGAACCGCGAGATCGGTGGATGTTTATCAGGAGGGAGGTGTTAGCAGAAGACGCTCCCGGGCGCCGGGAGGAGTTTGCGCCGGCGGCGGCGGCCCCGCGGCCGCGGAGCTCTCGGAGGTGCTGACGGCCGGGCGCGGGACCGGGGCTGCGCGCGTCCCTCCCCGGGCTCCCCCCACACCCCCAGCCCCCTTCCTGCGAAAACTCCAGCCCAAGTCCGCAGCTCCGCACTCCTGGGGCGCTGGGGAGCCCCGCGGACCCCTCGCCCGGGGAGGCGGGTGCGGAGGGCTGGCGGCCTCCCGCTCCCCTCGCCGGCGGCTGCTCGCTCCTGACACTGCCAGACTTTTATTTTTTTCTCCTATTTTTTTTTTCTTTTCCGCTCCCCCCCTCTTCTTTCCAAATATTGCCTACTTTAGAGTTCTCTATTTATAGCAGCGAGGCACAAGGGAAGTGTGCCATGTTTGCGGATTTCTCTCTATACGTTGACCACGACAGAAATCTGCGTGTTCTTATTTTTAGCTTGCTCGGAAGAGGCTTTGCTTGGCTAATCTCTTTATCAATTTTAGCAAAGTTTGTTGCCGTTGTTGTTGCGTGGGTAATTTGGGGAGAGAGCGAGGGGCATGGGGCTGGTGCCTGAGGATGTGCTTGCGGTCGACCCCGGCGAGTTAGGCTGAGTTTGGGGCGCAGTTTGTCGGCGGGTAGGATCAACACTCCTCGAGGAGGGGGCCCCAAAAGGGGGTCTCGGCACCCTCCGAGGCTCTCCCACGCGAAAGAGCAGGTCGTGGGGATCAGCCCTCTCGGAGCAGGAGGCTTGGGGCATGCCAACCTCCCCGGAGCCGGGCAGGGGAGAGGGTAGGCTGCCCTCTCACCCCCCTCCCCCGAGCGGGCCGGGCAGTGGTGCGGGGGACAGCCGCTCTTCTCCTGCTATTGTTGAGCCCCCTCGCTCCGAAGAGCCGCTGAAAACAAGTGCAAAAAGCCCCGGCTAAACCCTCGCCATCGCCCTGCCGCTACTTTTAGTTATTTTTTCTTTCTTTCTTTCCCTCTCTCTCTCGTTGGCTCATCTGCTGTTATTATCAGCCTTTTCCATATGGCCACTTTAATTAATGGCAGACAAAAGGGAGTTTGGGGCGGGCGGGGGGTGGGGGGGAGGAATCTAGGAATTAGAGTTTATAGTTGGTTTGTCTCCCTCTGATGCTGTCATAGAAACCAGAAGCAAAGATGCCGCCTTTCCACTTCTTTGTATGATCCTGTTTATTGTTCCCGAGCGGCGCAGATTGGAGCAGGCGCGTGTTGCAAGGCACAAACCAGCGCCGGCTGCTACGGCCGGGAAACCCGGGCATAACTTGTCCTCTTCGGCTCCTTCAAACCTGCCTGCCGTCTTCCCTCCCCTCCCCTCCTTCTCCTGCCTCGGGAAGAACAAGGAGAACTTGGTTTTCCTTTTTAGCTTCCTCCTTTTTTTTCCCTTTTTTTTTTTTTTTTTTTTTTCTTCCCAAGTGATGTTGTTCTGTGCGATCCCCGTCGCACAAGGAGTAGGAAAACTCCTGAAAGTTGGGTTTTTTCCCTTCCTAGAAAGCAGATCAGAGTTGCCCCCTGTGTCCCGGCGGAATTGGGGTCCTTGTACCCCCGAACGGCAGGTCCGGTTCTGTCCTGGGGTGCTGTTACAGAGGGAGTACCGACCCCGCCGGGGATGGGCGGCCGCGGTCGAGGGTGGCGACTTTCCGGGGGTCCCGTCCAGGAGGGGTCTGGGCAGGCAGTCCCGCTTGTCTCCTTCTTAGTCCCGGGGAGAGGGACCGAGAATCCGCACCCCCTTCCCCCACAGGGTCACCGCCGGCCCGCGGCAACTCTCGTGGGGAGAGGGAGCAGCGGGGCCGCTGTAGGAAAGTCAGAAACTCCTCCCGCCACGTCCTCCAGGGAGGACCTGCCGTGGGGACCCCCGGGGCTTGGCCCGGCTGGAGAAGCCACCGCTGCGGGACGGTGCTTAAGGTCACTGCCAAGGGTGGCTTTGGGATGAGATGCCTCCTCTACTTCGGACAATTCCTGGGCTGGAAGCGGGCGAGAACTCCTTCCCTGCAGAGCCCAAACGTTCCCCTTTCTCTCCCCACCTCCACTCCCTCTCGGTCCGAGCTATTCGGCGCCCGGTCCCTTTGCCCCGGGAATCACCCTTGTCCCCAGGGCTGGGGGGACAGGGAGCAGGGGGAGAGCAGCCCGGAGGCTGGAGGGCTGCTCCCCCACATTCCCCCGCTCTTGTTTTAGAGAGCTGGGCTGTACCCGAGCATGTCCCCGGGCTGGAGTGGGAGGGAAGGGGGGGGGGGGGGGGGGGGGGGGGCCACAGCGAACCCAGGTGCCTTCCAGGCGGAGATTCACCCAGCGGGGCCGGGACTGTCCCCAAGAACCGGGAGCCGCAAACTGGGGGGCTGAGGGTGGGCAGGGGCAGGCGAAGCCCCCGCTCTGCGTGTCCCCTGCCCCGTCCCGCAGAGCCCCGGGAGCCGGAGCGGGGCGGCCGCGGATCCTGGCAGTCAGATGATGATGATGATGATGATGATGAGGGCAGGGCTGACTTCGCAAGACGTAGCTCGGCGTCAGAGCAGCTGCCATTTTAGCAGACGGTGCTAAACTTCCCCCGTCCGCCCCCCCCGGAAGGCTCGGCTTTGGGGTGCTGCCTCCAAACTTGGGTTCTGGATGGGACACGCTGCTCTTCTTGTGCTTTGAGGGGAGCAGTGCACCCTAAGTCAGCAATACACCCGGAACAGGCTGAATGACACAGCTTTAGAGCTCAGGAATATGAACTCTTCTCCCTCCCTGAAATCCCCCCATGGTTTGGCATCAGGGCTTGAGGAGAGCAGGAGAGGTTATACTCCTGAACTCCAAAAATCAGTCTGTGCAATGCAAAATGGTCTCTAGCTCCAGCAGGGGGTAAAGCTCTCCTTTCACAACCTCGGGTGGGGCTTATTTTGTAAGGGATGATACCATCCGCACTCTAAAGTTTGGGGGGACCCTCTGCCCCCCGAGAGCAGAGCAAGGAAGGGGAAGCGGCAGGTTTACAGTAAAGTCTGGAGCCACGGCTGGGCTGGGCTTCCCAGAAAACATGAAATGAGGCGTGGGAAGAGGAGGGAGGGGCGGGGAAGCATCGCCTTACCGCTGGGAAGTCGGACGTGAGAGTTTAATGGCAAAGTGGGGGACAGGACCCGCTCTCCCTTTTGCTTTGTGTGTGTGTGTCAATCTGTAAATGGAAGGGCTTATTTTTACAGCTGTAAACTGTGTGGCTTAGTTGCTAGAGCTCTTCCCTTAATGAAAAGGCAGTCTCCTTTGTAGCTGTCGCTTTGTAGCTGTTCCTCTTTCTCATACGCGGGAGCTGAGCATGGAGGATCCACGCTGCAAAAACTTCCAGAGCTGAGAATACACTGCTGTGTGTTCCTCTTCTTCCCCCAACAACCCCCCTCTTTGGGTTATTTGTTGTGCAGATGCCGTTTGCTCCCTGGCTGTGCATGCTGACGCTCAGAGGGGAGACCAAGGTGGCCTCAGACTCCAGGTTTATTTGGCTTTTTGGGAGCTAGCAGTTGTGTGAAAGGGATTAGCAGTCTGGCATTAACTACCATTAACAGCCTCTCAGTTCCCAGGTATTTCGGGAGTTTTGACAGGGCAGAAGTTGCTGTCAGAAAACCTCACTCTTTCCACTTTTTCTTACCACCTTTTCAGTCTTTATCCTGGATTTTACTGGTTTCTACAAAGAATAACTCCACCATCTATGTACACATGCTGTTCTCCTTGGTATGTGGTGCAGGGTCCACTGGTGTCTGACATCCTTAAGGCTGGATTGCATGAAACTTCCCATTGTAAAATATTCTGTATCACTTCTGAGGCTGTTTACCTTTGCAAAGTAGAAGTTTGATCCACAGGTCAATCCTTAGAGAGGAGAATCCTGGTGTGAACAGAGAGGTGAGGTGATAAGCACAGGCTGTGAAAAGTCTCTGGGGTGAAGAAATGCCTCAAAACACCTTGCTCCAGGAATGAAATGAGTTCACATGAGATTTCTTCTTTGGGATCTGGGAGCCAGGTCATGAGTAATGGTAAGAGCAGGACTGGGACATCTCTTCTGCTCCCTTCAGAGGGGGGAGAGAAATCTGTCATTTCCTGCTCCCCACAAATATTTTCACCAAGGAGAAAAAGGGCTTTATGGGTGTATATTTGGAGGAAGCAAGTTCCCCCTCTCGGCAGGTTAATCTGTCCAAGGGAATTCCTGAAAGTGCAGTGTTGGAGAGTTCAGGATCTGCTTTGCTGGGAGCAGCCTGTGTCGTGGTTTGGCCCTTTGGGACAGGGCTGAGACATGGAAGGTGAAGAGCAGTTTCCAAGCATCTCCTTCCCATTCAGGTTCCGTGGACTTCCTCTGCAGCAGCCCAGGAGGGCATCCCTCGACTTCCCCAAGCTGCTTTCTCACAGTATCTGGTGTGGGAGGGAGGTTGTTTCTGCCTTGGGAATAGCTGGAGGTGGGCACTGAGGTGAGGACATCTCAGGGGCACGAGCATGTGTTGAGCACGTATGTTTAAAGACTGTAAATGTTAAAAATCACCAGAATGGAGCAGATCCTCAGAAACTTTTAACATTGTGGATTTTCTGTGGACTCTTTTATAGAAGGCACAAGCTGGAGTTGTAAGGAAAAATGGCTAAATATAGAACACAAAACTAGTGATTTTCTACTGTTGAGGTAATTGATCCTGACAATGCTTCTGTGAGGCTTTGCTGTGGGCTTGCAGGAGGGGATGGGGAGGCGGAGAAGGTTTCTGGGCTGGAGAGGTCCAGACTGGGATCTCGGTGTGTAGTCTTGGTCTCTTTAAGCAGGAGTTTGCCCTCTGAGGGGCTGTATTTTGAACAGCACTGGCTGCTTTATAAAGCCATGCCTCCCTCCATGCTACAGGAGCCTTTGATGAGGCAGGAAACTGGTCCAGCAGTGCCCTGGATGGACCCAGCACTGGAAATCGTGGCTGGTTTTGGGCAGACCCAGGAGGGAAAAGGCAGGCATGGCTCTGGCTTGTTTACAGGTGAATGTGGGGAGAGGATATGGGCTGGGAGTGTGGCTGGGGCTTTATCCCAGCACGCTGCTCCTCTGCTTCTCCCATCAGAGC